CAGGGGTGAGGGGGTTGGAACAGGTTTCCGTTTCCATCCACGCCCCACGCCGCTTACTGGTGTCTGGATTTTTTTTTCTTAAACAATATATGCTAGCCCTCCCCCCCCCCCATCCCCCCCAAAAAAAAAACACTCAACAAGCTTTTGAGGTGGAACCCGGTGCGGCGCAGCCGAGTTGGTGGAGGACACCCGAAACTCCCAAACTTTCTCAAACCATAAGCTGCTCAGGACCCTGGGCCCTAAACCCCAACCCCGGAACCTTAGACCTGTAAACCCTAAACCCGTGGTCCCTCGACCCTACAGTCACCAAAACCCCTGAACCTGAGATCTCTAAATGGTAAATCCCTAAACCCTGCTTTCTACATCCCGAACCCTTGACATCCCTAGCCCTAAACCCTAAACTTCCAGAATTCCACTGCTTCGCAATCCTTTTTTTGGCAGGCCCCAATCTCTTCTTCCGAGCGGCGCCCTTTGATGGAGGACTGGAGTGTCCTGCACCCTAAACGTCCCAACCCCAGAACCATGCAACCGTTGGGGCACCAGGCGTGCCCTCTCACTCCCAGTCCCCCCCCCCCCCCCCCATAACCTCCTAACCCGAGGACTCCGCTGCGGATGCTGGGAAGAGCCAAGAGCCCTCCAGGACTTCCTGCTCACAGGGCCAGTCGTCTATGTCTCCTCCTTTGCAGGCGTGCTCTGGGTGCTCAGGCGTGTGCCAAGACATGTTGTCTTCGCAATCTTTGGCAGGCCACCCCAACCCCGCATGGCACCTCTCCTTTACAGGCGTGCTCTGGGCTTGGAGGTGTTAGAGGTGTAGCCACGCATGTGCCAAAACAGGTTGTTTTCGCAGTCTTTTCTCTGGCAGGCCCCGATCGCTTCTTCCGAGCTGGCAGCACCGCGCCCGTTGATGGAGGACTGCGCCCTAAACACCCCAACCCCATAGGGCCTGTGACCCCAACCTCCCCCCTATGCAGGCGTGCTCTGGGCTTAGAGGTGTTGAGAGGTGCAGGCACGCGTGTTCCCAGACAGGTTGTTTTCGCAGTCTTTTCTCTGGCAGGTCCCGATCGCTTCTTCCGAGCTGGCAGCAACGGAGGCGTGGGCTGGGCTTGGAGGTGTTAGAGGTGCAGCCACGCATGTGCCGAGACATGTGGTTTATATCCTCAGCAGGATGTGGGCCTGCTTCGCAATCCTTTCTTTGGCAGGCCCCAATCTCTTCTTCCGAGCGGCGCCCTTTGATGGAGGACTGGAGTGTCCTGCACCCTAAACGTCCCAACCCCAGAACCATGCAACCGTTGGGGCACCAGGCGTGCCCTCTCACTCCCAGTCCCCCCCCCCCCCCCCCATAACCTCCTAACCCGAGGACTCCGCTGCGGATGCTGGGAAGAGCCAAGAGCCCTCCAGGACTTCCTGCTCACAGGGCCAGTCGTCTATGTCTCCTCCTTTGCAGGCGTGCTCTGGGTGCTCAGGCGTGTGCCAAGACATGTTGTCTTCGCAATCTTTGGCAGGCCACCCCAACCCCGCAGGGCACCTCTCCTTTGCAGGCGTGCTCTGGGCTTGGGGTTGTTAGAGGTGTAGCCACGCGTGTGCCAAAACAGGTTGTTTTCGCAGTCTTTTCTCTGGCAGGCCCCGATCGCTTCTTCCGAGCTGGCAGCACCGCGCCCGTTGATGGAGGACTGCGCCCTAAACACCCCAACCCCATAGGGCCTGTGACCCCAACCTCCCCCCTATGCAGGCGTGCTCTGGGCTTAGAGGTGTTTAGAGGTGCAGGCACGCGTGTTCCCAGACAGGTTGTTTTCGCAGTCTTTTCTCTGGCAGGTCCCGATCGCTTCTTCCGAGCTGGCAGCAACGGAGGCGTGGGCTGGGCTTGGAGGTGTTAGAGGTGCAGCCACGCATGTGCCGAGACATGTGGTTTATATCCTCAGCAGGATGTGGGCACCTTGCCGGCGCCCTTGCCGGCATCTCCTTCTGTGCAGGAGCGCTTCTGTTTAGGGTTTAGGGTTTAGGGTATAGGGTTTAGGGTTTAGGGTTTAGGGTTTAGGGTTGATGATGCGTCCGAAACCCAACCCTTGAGACCTCTGGAGCCTGCGCGCCGACCCATGTGTAGACACATCTGCGAGGAGCCCTCGACGATCGCGCAACACACCGAACTGGGGAGCAAGGCCAGCGATAGATTGTAAAATATCCTTGTCGCACACACACACACACACACACACACACACACGCTGAAGTCAGTTCTTATACTTATTCTGGGTGGGATGTGTCCTCAAGTCTTGCCCAGGCCGATACTTCTGATGTTCATTGTGGTCCTGCGGGCCCAGTGGTGGAGGAGTGTCTTGCTATGGTCCACGATGATGGCTTGCGCGCTTGCCACGTGGTAATGTGGTCTTGCAAGGAGCTCTCCAAGATCGGCGGAGAACACACTACACACGCTGCGCCGGGGAGCAAGGCGAGTGAGGGATTGTGGGAATTCCGACGATGGTGCGTGCTATAGAATTTCCGCGTCCTCCAGTTTCGTCCAGGCGGCTGCGTCCGATGCGCGTCACTCTGGGATAGATGAGGCCTGCTGCCGTGTTACTTTTTCTTTTGTCCCCGTGCATGCTGCCTGCGCCGTTTTTTTTTCTCCACCGCTCGGCTCGGCTGAAGGGTTCGGGGCTGTTGTGGTTGCTCCAGATAAACTTCAGTCTCCTACAGGCCAACGCACCTGATGCTCATCACGCTCCGGATCTTGCTGGAGTGGAGGTGGGCTCTGGCCCTTTCCTGTCGTGCTATGTTGTGCTCATGCGTTCCTGACCGAATGATCCTGATTTCGTGCTCCTGTCCACAGCTCGGTCTGGCTGAAGGATCTGCTGAAAAGACTGAGGGTTGAACGATGCTTCGCGCGCTTGCCATGCTTTTCTTGCAGCTGGCTGAAGCTGTGCTGGACCTCGGTCTAAGTGATCACGCGTGTCAGTTTCTCTCGGCGTGCTGCGACATGTCGAGTCGTTCCTGGCGTGTCCAGGATGACACCTCTACGAGCCTCGCAGAGGATGCGTGGTTTCATGCCTCGGAGCACCAGACCTATCTCCGCGAGATGGCTGAGCGTTGCCTGGATACACCGTCTTGGCCTCAGAGCACATGGTGTCGAGGAGCCTGAAGGGCCCTGCGCGCCAAGTCTTGAAATCTGCAAACCCTGAACCCTAAACCCTTACATTCTTCAACCCTTGAGCCCTACAATAATCCCTTGAACCTGATACCCTTCCCCATGCCGGAGGTACCTTAGACCTGAAACCCAACCCCCCCTTTCCCGAGCCGAGAACGGGGGGGTTGGGTTGTGGGTCTGAAGAGGCGAATGTTTAAAAGTTGTGGGCGGGAGTGGTGGGGGGGGGGGGGGGGGTTAGGTTTTTTAGAGGAGAAGATGGGGGGGGGGGGGGGGGGGGGCGTGGGAGGCAGGGGACCAGATGGGACCAGTCGTATGCCATACGACTGAAAAAAAAATGGTACAACAGGCCTCCCAATGTTTAGGTAGCCTTCATGACAACCCTGTTACGTCAGCTTGCCTGCCTTGGCCCTTCCAAGTGAGCCCCCTTTTGAGGCCGGATCTTCATTGCATAGACCTGTTCGGCTGCTCTGGCATGATGGCAAAGACCTGGGCCAGGGCAGGCTACGAGGCCCGTTCATTCTGTTCATTGCTGCGTAGTCGTGCGTGTTCTGACGTCCAGCTTTACCGCTAATGTCCTGTCTCTCGTCCCTGCGATGCAGTCTCGTAGCTACGACATCCGGCTGGAACCACGTGGCATGGACATCACGGGCAAGAGGGGGTTTCTGGCGCTTCTCCGACACTTGGCAGCATGGTGAAGCACAGATGGCACGGCCGCAGAGATCTCATGGGCCATGGTTGGGCTACAACATGTTTTTAGTCCTTTGCATGCAGTCTTTGGCACAGTCTATAGCTTCCGAGTCAGCTCCTGCATACGTTGCTGCACGAGTATGACCAGCGCAATGGTTCCTGCAGCCTCGCCATCGCCAGACCTGGAAGAGTTGGTCGCTCATGACACTTCCGAGGCTCCGGTGGCTGGGGGCGCGTCCCAGATCTCACAAGGGGGCTTTGTGGTTTCTGCGGCCGGCCTATCGCCTGTTGCGCCTGCGAACGCTGTGCCACCGTCCATTAGCTCCTCTCCTGCGACGTCGCCGACAACAAGACACATGCGAGACTGGCAGCCGGTCTGGTCAGCTATGTCACCTGTCCAATGTCAGTGCACCTGCGGCCGGTGCGCTGGTGGCGGAGAGATGGTCTCTGGGGCTTCTGACCCCGCTGCCTCACCGATCTCACATGGGGGCTCTGTGATTTCCGTGGCCGGCCTATCGCCTGTTTCGCCGGTGAACACTGCGCCGCCCTCCATTACCTCCTCTCCTATGACGTCAACGACGACAAGGTTCATGCGGGACTGGCAGCCGGTCTGGTCAGCTATGTCACCGATACGATGTCCGTGCAGCTGCGGCCGGTGTGCTGGTGGCGGCGAGATGGACGAGCCAGGCAAAAGCCCTGCGCGCAGTCCGCCACGGAGTCCAGCTGTTTCGATTGTTTCCATTCGCAGCTCGCCAGAATATGTCCTGACCACGCCTCCCTGCAAGCGCCGAGGGCGGTCACCATATGCATCATATGCGTGCCCAGTGCCGGTGGAGAGTGACGCTGAGCTTAAGCAGCCGAAGCGAAGCAGGCTGGCAGCTTCCGCGATTGTCGTGGACACATCGGGCTTGCCCAAGGCAGCAGACATCGCAGTAGAGTAGGTGGCTGCAGATGACAGGGTCTGCTAGGAGGGGTGAGACATGGTGAGACGGGGGATCCAGGCTGCATATGCCGCTTGAGCGACAAACGTGTCAGACAAGTGACAAGAAAAGGGCACATGCAGCAATACAGGTCACAGCCAGCTCTCAGATCTTTCAGTTTACGCATGCAAGGGGTTCCTGAAGGATTTGTGCCACGTTTGCTGCCCAATTGTGTGGGTTGCTGGCAAGGACTGGGAATGAGGCTTCGGAACCATGGCGTTGTGATCGGCGGCCCACCGTGCTCGCTGAACATCTGGCTGTGCCTTGTTCGCCTCCCATGACGTTGCTTTCATGTTTTTTTTTTTGAAAGGGGGGGTGGGGGGCACCAATGCTCTACATTCTGTCAGGTCGTCCTCTGTCCACAGACGAAGCTTATCGCACCCCGAAGGTGACACGAGGAACTATAAGGTTCGTCTGTCGAACCTTATCGCTGCCAACACGGCGCCTTCGCATGCCTTGGCTGTGCCATTCTATGCCATGCTGTGCCCTTTCGGCGATAGTCATGTCTAGTCGACTGCCGTCCGTACGCGCTTGGCTCAGGCGTGCTGGTTGACCTTGCTGCGTGACATGGGCAAGGTCTTTTACTGGGCCCTGGAGCAACCATCTCCTTCCTGGCTATGGCGGCTGGAGTGCATGATCGGCCTCACTGCTGCTTTTGGGGCAGCGCGGATATGCACATGGACGCTGCGCAGCGTTAGTGATCTCTCATGTGTGCTCAAGAAAGTCTAGAAGCAATATGGCTGAGCGATGCGTCAGCTCCCTGCCAGTCCAGGATGGCATTCTTTGGTCACGACATGCTGAAGCCGTCCACACTCATGGGGACCCTTCCGGGCTTGGCTGGCATGCGCAGGGTCATGCGAAAGGCGGACCGTGGCAAGTTCAAGCGCCGATTCGCTTGGGCCTTGGATGATCTTCCCAGCCAGTTGTTCGCGTCACATGTGCTTGCACTGCATCGACCCAACTCCATTGGCTGCTAGGAGAAGCGTCAGCAACGCCGAGCGCTCCCCAGGATCTATCATGTGACCGTGCCTGGGAAGCTACAGCAGCTACACACAGTATACACAGTGCGCATGTCTGCACGTGCTGCGATTATCTGCGGAGCTAGCTACGGCGGCTAGAGTGGCTATGGATCTGAGGAAAATGGGAAGACACGTGGTGGCCGCGACTTGCCCCAGAGTGCGGAGTACACGCAGGCCTTCTGCAAGGCTCTCCTGAGGATCTGGCTGCGCGCATGGACGCAAGGCTTGTAGATCCCTTCCTGTTTCAGCGACCCTCATGGGTCCTGTTCATACGCTGCCACGCAGCTGCTAGCTCCACCAATGGGAGTAGCGCAAGTGCTGGTGCGCTGTACACAGAAGGCCAGTTGCTGCCACATGCTGCCTGGTGTAAAATTGCATAGCCTGCAGAGCTCGCACGCTGTGGTGGGGCCAGTCCCGCAGCAGAGCCACTAGCCACACATCTGTCGTGCTGTCCAGGCCAGTTGGACTCCACAGGACCAGTGTGTCTGAGCGAAGGTCTAAACCCTTAACCCTAAACTTTACGTCTGTTTGGTTGGTGGTGGGGGGGGGGAAGGGTCTTGTGGAGCAAAACTACGCACCGACACTCATAGGGGTCCCTGCAAAGGCTTAGGGTAGGCAGTGAAGGGCAGTGAAGGGCCTGTAAGGGTGCCTGCAGGGTTTAGGAAGGCAGTGAAGGGCAGAGCCTTTTCTCCCTTTAGAGGGCAGTGAAGGCTGAAAGGGGACAGCCCTTCCCCTGACCCCCGCCGCATCTGTATCAACCCCCCCCGGCCCCCCCCCCCCCCCCGCCGCCCCCCCCCCCCCCAACCCAGAAAAGTTTGGGTTTTGGGGCCCCCCACACCCACCCCCCCCCCTGCCCCCCTCCCCCCCCCCCCCCCCCCCCCTCCCACGCCCTTCCGGAAGGGCTGGAGGCTGGAACCTGACCCCCGCCCCCCCCGCCCCACCCCACCCCCTCCCAGCCTTAAAAATTCGATAAAAGCTTGGGGGGACTCTCACGGAACACCGAGCTGCGCACAAAACCCTGTGCAAGGACCCCTTTTCTTGTTTGTTTTTTCATCGGCGTTGCAGTGCTTTGGGCCCTGATCCAGGGTAGTCCAGGGCTTCTCTGTGTTCCTGGAGTAATGTTTGGGGATGTATAGGGAGCCAAAGGCCCTCCCAGCCCCTGAAAATTCGATAAAAGCTTGGGGGTACTCTCACGAAACACTGAGCCACGCACCTGAACCTCTGACCCCCCCCTTCTAAATCTTGAATTTCTCGGTAGTAGTCGTAGTAGTACTACTACTAGCAGTAGTAGCAGTTAATAGTAATAATAGTAGTAGTAGTAGTAGTAGTAGTAGTAGTAGTAGTAGTAGTAGTAGTAGTAGTAGCAGTAGTAGTAGTAGTCGTAGTAGTAGTAGTAGTAGTAGTAGTAGTAGTAGTAGTAGTAGTAGTAGTAGTAGTAGTAGTAGTAGTAGTAGTAGTAGTAGTAGTGTATTATTGGCCCATCAGCGACTTCCCAGCCTTGAAAATTCGATAAAAGCTGGGGGGGACTTTCACGGAACACCGAGCTGCGCACAAAACCCTGTGGAAGGACCCCCCCTTTTCTCGATTTTTTTTCATCGGCGATGCAGTGCTTTGGGCCCTGATCCAGGGGTAGTCTAGGGCTTCTCTGTGTTCCTGGAGTAATGTCTAGGGATGTATAGGTAGCCAAAGACCCTCCCAGCCCCTGAAAATTCGATAAAAGCTTGGGGGTACTCTCACGAAACACTGAGCCACGCACCTGAACCTCTGACCCCCCCCTTCTAAATCTTGAATTTCTCGGTAGTAGTCGTAGTAGTACTACTACTAGCAGTAGTAGCAGTTAATAGTAATAATAGTAGTAGTAGTAGTAGTAGTAGTAGTAGTAGTAGTAGTAGTAGTAGTAGTAGTAGTAGTAGTAGTAGTAGTAGTAGTAGTAGTGTATTATTGGCCCATCAGCGACTTCCCAGCCTTGAAAATTCGATAAAAGCTGGGGGGGACTTTCACGGAACACCGAGCTGCGCACAAAACCCTGTGGAAGGACCCCCCCTTTTCTTGATTTTTTTCATCGGCGATGCAGTGCTTTGGGCCCTGATCCAGGGGTAGTCTAGGGCTTCTCTGTGTTCCTGGAGTAATGTCTAGGGATGTATAGGTAGCCAAAGACCCTCCCAGCCCCTGAAAATTCGATAAAAGCTTGGGGGTACTCTCACGAAACACTGAGCCACGCACCTGAACCTCTGACCCCCCCCCTCTAAATCTTGAATTTCTCGGTAGTAGTCGTAGTAGTACTAGTAGCAGTAGTAGCAGTAGTAGCAGTAGTAGCAGTAGTAGTAGTAATAATAGTAGTAGTAGTAGTAGTAGTAGTAGTAGTAGTAGTAGTAGTAGTAGTAGTAGCAGCAGAATCCAAGCCCTGCCACTTTGACGGGTCTTCCCCCTTGTGATCCCCCCCCTCCCTAAATATCCTAATCATGCGCAGGATCTGGAGCGCCTGGAGATCCGGCCGTGGTGGAAGGTGTTGCGGGATGAGACTCTGGAGTCCGCAGCTGCTTGCGGGACGAATGCCTTGCGACGCAAGCTGTGCCCGCCTTGTGCAGTGCTGCTGGATTGTTTGTATTGTATGTGTAGGGATGCCAGTCTGTTCTAAGTTTCGTAAGACCGCGGAACCATTATCCACAGCAGACGCCAAGGCGGCATTGTCAGGACAACTCCTCGCTCTGGTCCGCCTTCCTGTCCCGCATGGATGTCGACAGCCGGAGACATTTCAGCAAAGTGAGCTGTGCGGAGCTTGCAGCAGTTGTCCGCTTCATGAGGACGCCTGGGTCCAATGCCGACGCGTGGCTGGACATGTCTGCGGAAAGAAAGCGAACATTTGTGCCAGATGATGCTGTGCAAGAGCTCAAGGCGCTGACGCCGGAGGAGCGTGGTATCTGGTCGCTTTGCCTTGGCGCCTGTGGTCTCCATGAACTTCAGACCCCAGGCGTTGCTGAGCACCTAGAGCCTAGCCATGAGGATTTGTGGGAAGATCTGTGCCGCTGGCTTCCCGCATTCCCCATCGCGGCCAAGCTACCATGGAAGCTTGAAGAGGTCGGACCAAGCGTCGCTGTGCCGGTCAAGCAGGAGATGCATGTCAAGCAGGAGATGAAGGACGGGCTCAGGTTTCAGTGCTAGGAAGTTGTACGCTTGTGTGGTGCTTATATAGGATTTTGTACTTGGGTTGCAGTTTTGCTACCATGGAAGCTTCAATGTGTAGGTGATGGGTTGCGAGGAGCTGCGGATGTCAACACCCAGGGTGGGCGAAACCCTGCGGGCACCAGTGAAAGCAGAACCGTCGTCTGCAGTGACGACACGCCGGCCAGCATCGCCTATGACACCTCCGAGGAAGCAGGCAAGAAGATCTTGTGCCGACACCAACGTCTCTTCGCCAAAGGTCGCCAAAGCAAGTGCCGCAAACTCGAGGACCGGCGCGCCCAAGCTAGCGCTCCTGGGATCAGAGGTGGAAGCCTTGCTTCTGCGCGGTGTTAAGGCCGAGCCCTTCAGCAAAGCCCAGATGAGCTACGCGCAGGTGGTGAAGCTATCCTGCAGGGTTGCAAAGGCACACTTCTCCGACTTCTGGCCAGGGTCTGTTGCGATCGTGGTGGCCGGTGCTGAGGAGCGCGTGCGGTCACTGACTTGGCAATGGGGTGCCAGCTGCTTGGCCAGCATTGTGTACTCGCCCCATCACTGGGCGCTGGCTGCCTTCACAAGCTCCGAACCAGCGCAAGCAGTATTTTACGATGGCTTGGGTGGGGCTGAGAGCAAGACATGCATGGACATGGCGGTGGCCTTCTGCCAACACGCTCACGAGATTGGCTGGCTCCCCACTGTGCCGGCCATACAAGAAGCACGCTGCCCTGCGCAACGTGACACGTGGTCATGTGGCCACAGGGTTGGCCTTGTCCTCAACTATGTCTTGGAGCGCTTTGCGAACAGCAAGGTCTTGCCCACAGCTGTGCCAGAAGCTATCTGCTCAGAGGATCAGTTGGACAATTTGCTCGAGCTTTCGAGAAAGGCGGCGAGACCAGCAACCGAAACACCTTCAGATGCTGCTGCCTCTGTGTCCAAGAAAGCAAAGACTGAGCATGTGAAGCCCACTCCGGCCCAGCCCATGAGCCTCAGCCCCACGGAAGGCGTCCCTCGGAAGCAGCACCTCGAGCGATCGCCCGCTGACACAGACATGAGCACGCCTCGTGCCACGGTCAGCCGCAGTTCGGGCAGCAAAGCAGGGCTGGCCCCGACTGGTGGAGGCCGTGCGCCCAAAGCCAAAAAGCGTGACCAGTCGAAGAAGGCCACCGATGCACGTGCCACAGCATTGCAGGCACTTGCAGCTGTGGAAATCGACCATACCACTTTCCAGAAAGAGCATGCCCAAGAAAAAGCTGCGGCCGCGGCGGGGCACTGGCAGGCTTTCCTGGAGGCAGTGGCAATGCCGGAGCGCTTGGTGGACTGCCTTGTTTGTGCTGAGCTGCGGCGCCGAGCGTTGAAGCCTGATCAGGAAGGGGGCAAGCAGGCGGGGCAGCCGGCGAGGGACGGGTCAGATGCTCTGGTTGGTCTAAACGCGCTGGATGAGCCGGCGGCGCCTGCTTTGAAGCCTGCAGCCAAAGGCAGGCCCAGGAAAGACGCGGCGCTCTTTGACATCCACCGGTGGATCCGTGTGAACCGCCCCGGCATTTACAGCATGACCCCTGCCTCATACTCCGCCAAATGCACCTACCACTGCCACGCCTGTGACAAGAAGGTCAACTTCTGGTCGCAGCATAGCCTGTCCAAGATGAACGGTGCACAAGGCCATGAGTTCAGTGACCGGCATACGCGGGGCCTGGCAGCTTTAGAGAACGGCAGGAGGGAGTTCAATGAGGTTTGTGCTCCAGCTGCTGAGGTTGCTCCCCTGCAGGACGCAGAGGCGCCGAAGTGCTGCGGCATTTCTTTGGCAGAGGGTCCCGCTGCCGACTTGAGGGACAGCGTCCAGACCTTCATGTACTTCGGCCAACCGCGAACTCTCTTCAAGGACTCGGAGAAAGACCCGATGGCTGCTGTAACGTTGTGCATGCAAGGAGATGTGATCCGAATCCAGGGCAAGGATTGCTTGGGCACAGCGGGCGGAACGTGCAAGAACTGCCGCCGGGCGTGTCTGCTCCCGTCATTTCGGAGCCACATCGCTAAGAAGGCTGCCTTCATTGACCAGGTGGTCTTTGCATGGAAGCTTTTCCATTGCGACGAGAAGCAGGCCATGCAGCATGCTGCCAAAATGCGCCGTGCCGACTACGTCAGAGCGGAGCTTGCAGGCCTGGACGTGGAGGAGCTCATCGGCGGCAACCAGGACAAGTTGACGATTGCGCGGAACATCAGCCACCGAGCAGTGTGCATTCCAGTACATCGCCGCAGCGCTGCCCTGCAGCAGTTCCTGGACGGCTACCTGGTGCAAGCGCATCTCTTCCATGCAGATGGTGCCGAAGCATCTGCGCATGGCGCGCTTGCAGCTGCGCTCGGGAGCGCGGTCGCAGCTGGCGCCGTGCGTCAGCTAGACATCCGTCTCGCGGCCAAGATGGCATCGGGCGCTCTGAGGAAGGACTCGCTGATCCAGTCTTTGACTACAACCTTTCTGATGACATGCCAGCAGGCTATGGAACCGCGGCAACGTAGCCACTCCACTCGGCATGTTGATCTAGACGCTCTTCAAGATGCGCTGTCCGTGCTTGGGCGTAGTGAACAAGTGGATCAGATGATGCAGCGATTCGGTCTCAACACCAAAGCCCTTCCCAAGGCGCCAATCGAGTCGCCGTGCCTTCCGAATGCATTTGTCAGTTTGCGAACAGACAAAGAACTGGCGTGCACAATCCAGCGCGGTCTCAGTCTACTCCGACTCTGTGGTCAGAGAAGCCACGTTCTGATTGACGAGACCGTCTGGTGCCCGTCCTTTGAGCAGGTATCCTCCCTGAGGTCAACAGAATCTGGTGAGAAGGAGACGGCGTACGTAGGGGGCTGCTGGGATGCAGATGCGAAGGCAGACTACTCATATCTGCCCACGTCCCAGTATAAGGCTGCCGACTTGGTCAAGGACACGCTTGAGTGTGCTGCATTCTTCTCTATTTCCTTTGCAAGGTTCAGGGTGTTCCAGTCGGACGTGTGAAGGGATGCTAAGGGATGTTAAGGGGACAGGTGGGAGGTGGCTGCGGCATGATGAGAGGGATTCGCGCAGCTACCTGTCAGGAGAAGCAGGCGCGGCTGACGCTCCATCTGGCCCTCAAGCGACCGGATTCTAACCGCTACGTAGTGGACGCCCTCATTCTTCCCCGCCGTCAAGGAATATCATCTGCAGCTGAAATCCTGCAGCTGGTTGGAAAATTCCTCGCGGCAGCCACAGAGTGCAACAACGGCGTCCCTCCGGTCGGCGTGGCGTACGACGGGGCGTCGTGCAACTCAGCCATCAACAAGATGCTGAATGGCTTGATGAACGCGCAGGACATGGCCGGGATCCCTTTCTTTGCCTCTTGCCGTGTGGAGACGCTGCAGCTCCGCTTTTGGCCGTACGGCCGGGTCGTCTTCTCCGAGCAAGAGGGGCTCTCTTACCCGATGGTTGGCTTCATCGACGGGCTGCACGTTCAGAAGCGGCTGAGCTTGCAGGCGTGCTGCGGCGCCAGATTCCTGGTGCACGGCTGTTTCTGGACCTCCCTCAGCTGCCAAATGCGCCATGGCATCGGGAGCAAGACTCATGGCTGTGCTGACACTCAGTCCGACAGGGCTGCCGTGGCTCGGCTGAGTCCAAGCTTCACACCTCGAAGTTGGGATGCCGCTGGAGCCCAGCTGCATTCTCTTTTCGGGTCCTTGGTTGCCGCGATATCGTCTGCAAGTCCGGCATTCAGCAAGAAGGAGTTAGCAGAGAGTGCACTGACGCTGCACTATTTGCTCCTCCTGCATTTGTGCCACAGCTGCGCCAGGTTTGGCAAACAGTACGCCACCTACAGCATCTCGCTGACCACCGTCCGAAATTGCACGAGCTTGGCTTCTCATTGCTTGACGAGCTGCCAAACACATTGGGAGCCGCGTCTGTTACAGGAGGCACCGATTGAATCGCACTTCGGCAGGTTGAAGAAGCATTGTGCAGGGGCCCCGGGCATCAAGGACTGCCTCTACGCAGTGGCCTTGGAGACCGCGCGGCAGCAGGAGCAGCTTCGCAAGATGGATGCAAAGTCACTCAACATGCAGCGGACGGCGCAGTCTCGAGATCCGCTCTCCGAGTCCGAGCTGCTGGAAGCGGGCTCCGCCGCCTTGGCAGCTGCCTGCCAGTTCCAGGCCCACCCCTCGCACCCCATGCACCCCCAATTGATCGCTGTACGTAATGGGTTTGGTGTTTCGCATGTTTCGCACAGTTACTTGTTTTAGGATCTTCCAGGCATACATACAGCAGGACGTGACCGCAGAGGACATCTATGGTCGCCTGAGGACGTGGTACCCGGCCGAGGGGAGCAAGCTTTTGTTTCAGAGGGATGCCGATCAGGACGAGCAGGAGGCAGACGACGACTTCATACCAGATTTGGACACGACCATGCAGGAGCTGACTGTGCGAGAGATGAAGCTGCTTGCTGCTGCCCGAAACAGTCCTGAAGATGCCGAGGCAGAGCAGGATCCAGGCACGCTGATCGAGAAGGTGGCCAGCCAAGCCATGATGCGTGAATCTCTCCATGAGTTGCGGCAGAACCAATTCCTTGCAGGCGAGGGGACCGTGGAGCTGGACGAGGACACCGGCGACCATGGCCAGGCCAGCGTGGAAGAGATCGAGGACATGGCGACAACTGATCCCCTTCCGCTGGAGCGGGAGGAGCGGGATCCAACATCAGAGCAGCCGAAAACCCTGCGCGACATTCTCACAGCTGCTACTGCCAAGAGAGAGTCCTGCTTCGACTTGCGCGAGGCTTCGGCGCAGGGGGCGGACGGCGCATTGCGAAGAGTCTCTTGCCTAGCTGGTCCGATACGGCACTTTGCCAAGTTTGTGCGGTTGGAGGAGGGCCTGTTGTCCCTTGCGTGGATCGAGCGGCAAAAGGCCCCAGAAGGCGAATGGAATCGGGCCGAGCACGAACTTGCCATGGCTCGTCTAGCTCAAGACTCCTCCAAGACACGTGTGGCTCGAGCAACCCTCTGGGCCGCCAGCGCTGCAAGTCTATGCCAGCAGGTGCTCGCCCGCAACCGGCAGGCGAGCGAGCAAGACCGTGGCCTGTTCCCCGTTGAGCTTTACCGCCCACCAGTGTCCATGAAGGATGCGAGCTTCCAGATCGTGCTTATCAAGGGTGCTGCTGCCAAAGCTGGGGCGGGAGACCGCAAGGTTGTGCCGTGCTGCGTCATGGCAGCTTTCAGGGGCTGCGCGGTGAGAACCAAATCCGCCGAGACTGTGATCAGGACCGGCAAGCCGAGCTCAGGCTTTCTGCAATCATCTTGCGCACGGATGATTCACGCGTCCGAGCTGGTGTTTGACACGAACACCCAACAGTACTGGACATCATCCTCGTCAGAACCCATCTTGTTCGATCCCGCTGGCTGCGTGCTGGGCGAGCTGACGGTGGCCAAGGCGTCCCGAGTGGGCATGAAGTTGGTGATCGAGCTCACGCCCGCAGCAGAGCAGGCCATGGCGAGCCTGCGAAAGCCGGGGGCAAAGCTGCCAGAACTTGCGCATCATGAAAAGGAGAGTGAGACCCTGCACAAACCTCCTGCAGAACAGCCGGATACCAACACGTTCACTGAAAGGAGCTTCTCGAAGGCGGCCTTGGCCACCAAGGTCCCCCTGTTCCTGGATGGCGTGCGACGTGCGCTTGAAAGGATGAATGTCGAGCTGGTGAATTCAGATGGCTACGTGATCCTGGGTGACCAGAGCAAGGCATGCTGGAGTGATCTCTGTCAGAGAACCGTGAGCTACCTGGCCAAGGAGTTCAAAGGCCTTGTCGTGTTGTGTACTGCGACATGCGACTCTGTGTCACCGAGCTTGTCGGTCATGTCTTTCCACCTAATCCCTCAACACATATGTCCTCGTGTGCTATGCGTGCCAGACTCCACTGGAGATGCTTTCAGCCGTGCCGTCTACTCGGCCGTGAAGCGCCTGGTGCCCGATCAAGATGCTGCTTCAGGCACGTGGTGGTGGGGGGGGGGGAAGGGCGGGGGGGGGGGGGGGGGGATGTGTATGTCAGATGAGTGGGGAGGTGGGGGGGGTGGGGGGGGGGGTGGGGGGAAGCCGGGAAGCGCCAAGAAATCCTCAAACCCTGAACCCTAAACCCTTACCCTTAAACCCTGTTATAACCCCTTAAACCTGAAACCCTTCCCCATGCCGGAGGTACCTTGGACCTGCAACCCAACCCCCCCTTCTCGAGCCCAGAACGGGGGGGTTGGGTTCTGGGATGTTCTGAAAGTTGGGGGGGGGGGGAGGGGGGGGGGTGGAGGCAGGGACCAGTCGTATGCAAAAAAAAAAGATGGTACATGGTACAGGGGGAGGGGTGGCTGGGGGGTGGAGGGGGAGCTGGCGTAGCGGGGATGGGGGCAGGGACAGTCGTATGCCATACGACTTTGGAGGGAGGATAGGGAGGTCTCGAGCGTGGGGTTGAATCTGTGCGAGGCCCAACGATGCGAGTGATCATGCAGTTTTTTAATCTTGTGGCAAAGGCCACTCAGGCTTCTGTGTCTTTGCCAAGCGCGCCGAAGTAGGGATTTATAGCCGTGTAGTAGGGTTGAAGGCTTTCTGCAACCTCTCAGCTTTGAAAGTGTTCATGGTTTGAAGTTCGCGGTGTAGGGGTTGTGGGTTTATAAACCTTGTATGGTTCAGGCGCCTGCAAAGCACGGAGCAAGCTTTCAGCATCTGCAGGCAGTGACCTTCACGGAAGGGGTGGTTGTGAGGCACCCTGCAGCCTAGATGGGGCTTAAACTCACATCCCCCACCCGAAGACCCTATGGGGCTTAGGCTCACATCCCCCACCTAACCCCCTCAACCCCCCCCCCCCCCCCCCCCCCCCCCCCCCCCCAAATGGGATGAAGGGGCCACGGACCACAACTGTAGCTCACTGTCCTGAAACTTTGAGGGCTGTCGCTGCAGATCTTTGACCTGCTCGAGACAAAAAACAAGTTGTACAAACATTTGCGGCCTTGGGGTACGGCCGGTGCTTCTGTCTCGCTTGTCTTAATACCCGTGGCAAAGGCCGCCCGTGCTCCCTTGCCATTGCCAGGCGCGCCGAAGTAAGCGTTCTCAGCTCTTCACGGCTTAAGGGTTACGATTTATAGCCGTGTATAAGGTTGAAGGTTTTCTGCAACCTCTCAGGTTTGAAAGTGTTCATGTTTTGACGTTCGCGGTGTAGGGGTTATGGGTTTATAGGCCTTGTGTAGTTCAGGCGGCCAGGGCCTGCAAAGCACGGAGAAGCTCTTTCAGCATCTGCAGACAGCGACCTTCACGCAAGGGGCGGTTGTGAGGCACCCTTCAGCCTAAATGGGGTTTAGGCTCACACCCCCCGCCCTAACCCCCTCTACCCCCCTCTTCCCAAAGGGATGATAGGGGCCACGGACCACAACTGTAGCTCACTGTCCTGAAACTTTGAGGGCTGTCGCTGCAGATCTTTGACCTGCTCGAGACAAAAAACAAGTTGTACAAACATTTGCGGCCTTGGGGTACGGCCGGTGCTTCTGTCTCGCTTGTCTTAATACCCGTGGCAAAGGCCACCCGTGCTCCCTTGTGATTGCCAGGCGCACCGACGTAAGCATTCGCCGTTCTTCGCGGCTTAGGGGCTACGATTTATAGCAAGGTTGAAGGTTGTCTGCAGCCAATGGCTTTCACACGCAGGATGGATCAGTGGCATGGAAAAAAAAATGACCAGCGACTCTGCCCATTGTTCGGTGCATGTTGAGAGCTCAAGAGAGTCCCCAGACCCCCCCCACGCACAGAGTGCCCCCCCCCCCCCCCGCACCAAGAAATTTCCCACCCCCCCCCCCCCCCCCCCCCTCCATTTATTTTCTTCTTCTCCAACCCCCCCCCCCACCTCCCCCCCCCTTAAGGGGGGGGGTATCCGGCGCCCCAGTGTCCGACGCCCGACGCCGGCGTCCGACACCCCTGTGTCCGACGAGCAACGCCGGCGTCCGAGACCCCTGTGTCCGACGCTTGTACATGTTTGCTTTACACTGGTGCTTCTCCGGGCCCTCCCCCCCACTTTTAGGGGCCTTAAGGCGCTCCAAGGGGGGCTTAGGGATCTTAAGGACCTTTAAGGACCTTAAGCGGCCTTTAGGGACCTTAAGACGCTTTAGGGACCTTAAGGGGCCTTGCGCTTAAGGGGCCTTCTCGGGAATTAAGGGGCCTTAGGGACCTTAAGGGGCCTTAGGGCCTTCGGAGGCCTTAAGTGGGGCCTATAGAAACTTCAAGAGACCTCAAGGGGCCTTAGGGCCTTAGGGGCCTGAAGTGATCTTAAGGGGCCGCAGGGGCCGTAGGGGCCTTGAGGCCTTGGCGTCTGAGGGGCCTTAACCCCGTACGCTCATGAAACTTGAAGCCAAAACGCGCAAGATTTTGATTGGGATCTATATCAGGTTTAAGACAGGGTCTACGGTTTCGCATGTAGGGTTCAGGCTTAACTCAGAGGTTTGATAGGGTTTAGGGTTTAGGCTTAACCAGAGGTTTACGGTGTAGGGTTCAGGGTTCATAGGGTTTAGGCTTAGGGTCTGCTGTCTGTCGCAGCTTGAAAGTGGCCTAGGTTCTACTGAGCTATCATTTCGGGGCGGGGCGCCCCAAAAATACTCATAAGTTATCATTTCGGGACGGGGCGCCCCAAAATGTCCAGAAGTTATCATTTTGGAATGGGGCGCCGTTATTCTGTTACCGAATACATCACAAAATCACAGCTCGCAAGCAGTGTCCCCCTTAGTTCTTTGTTGACAGAAGAGGTCGCAAAATCACAAATCGCAAGCAGTTTCCCCTTAATTTTGTGTAGACTGTATCACAAAAATGACATCGTGAGCAGTGCCCCCCCTTAGTTTTTGTTGAAATAGAGGTCCCAAATGACAAATCCAAAACAGTACCCTTTTTACAGAATACATCACTCAATGACAAATCGCAAGCAGTGTCCCCCTTAGTTTTTTTTGTTGAAAGAAGAGGGCCAAAATCACAAATCGCGCAAGCCGGGTTGAAGAGCCCCATGTAAATTTCGAAAGGGTTGGAAAGCCACGTATATTTTTCAAAATTTGGGCTGGGATGTTCTGATCGTTTTTCCAATGTACTCATAATGGTTGTACGAATACTTGTCAACCCTTATTAAGACTTATGAAGACTCACGAAGACTCATGAAGACTCATGGATACTCATGAATAGCATTCATGAAAAAAGAGGAACTCAACCCTAAACCCGCATCGGGTTTATGGGATTTAGGATTTAGGGGTTAGAATGTAGAGAGGTTGTGGGTTTAGCAGGTTTAGGATTTGGGGGTTCAGGGTTTAGGGGTTGAGGGTTTGGGGGTTTAGGGTGGGTTTAGGTGGTTTATGGTTTGGGGGGTTTAGATCGACTTGAAGCGGTTTGGGTAGGGTTTCAGGTTGAGGGATTATGGGGTTCAGTGTTTAGGGTGTCTAGTAGGGTTTCGGGGGTTCAGGATTTAGGGGGGTTTAGAGTTATGCAGTTTGGGGGTCTAGGGGGTTGAAGTTCAGGGTTCAGGGAGTTTAGAGAAGGTTTTAGGTTTAGGGTCTAGGGTTTAGGGTTCAAAGTTTATAGAGTGTTTAGGGTTTAGGTTGCAGGGGGTTGTAGGGTTTAGGTGTCTTAGGATTTAGGGTAGGGTCTGAGGGGTTTAGGGTTCAAGGTTTAGGGTTTAGGGGTTGAGGGGTTTAGGGGGTTTAGGGTTTTTGGGGGTTTAGGGTTTGGGGCGTTCGGGGGTTGCGGGGGTTTGGGGTTTAGGGTGCTTCCACTTAGGGTGTTTAGGGCTTGGGGTGTTTGGGGTGTTTATGGTCTATGGTGTTTAGGGGGCTTCGGGGTGTCTAGAGTTTAAGCCCTTAACCGGCAACCCAAACACTTAAACTCAAAATTCCGCGACAAACTTATTGAGCGTTTGATGGTTTACCTTTTTTGGTCGAAAGTACTGAGACAAATTGAATTTCTATTGATTTTTCATACTCTTCCCTATTGGTTTTGGTTTGTACTGTTATCGATGTTGATGACATGCTCTCTTTTGATTTCCATGGCCTCTTCCTATTGAGTTTCAGAGACAACAAAACACCTGAGGAGTTTGTTTTATTGATTTGGAAGAAAAACCAACTTCGGTTAAAACATCAATAGCGATTGATGTGTTCAATATTTGGTGGAAGAAGCGAAAGATGGACCAGCCTGGCGAGGCTGAGGTTGCTCGAGAATTGTTGGTTGAACTCCTCCAGGAAGCCCGCGCGGCCCGCGCGGCATCGGGACTCAAGGTTACTGCGGCCAAGACTTCGGCCAAGCTCTCAGCCAAGTTTTGGGAACCTCTGAGCTGGACCACATTGTCCTAACAGAACACGCATGTGTGCATGGCGCCAGGGCAAGAGCAGCCAGAAGGAGAAACCCGCCGAGGTGGTTGAGGTGAAGGAAGAGTTGAAGGACAGCTATCATAGTGGACAGTTGCTTTTGCGAGTTTAAGAGCCAGAGACAGATCATCTGAAAGGAGGATGACGCCTGGATCTCACGTCCGAAAACAAGGACTGCCTGCGATTCCCAGCAACAGTGCCCAACCCAGTCAGGAGCCGAAGGGGCCAATGGAGAAGGCGACAAAGGAGAGGCAACAAATGAGAAGGAGAAGGACAAGGAGAGAAAGCAAAAGGCAACGAACGCGAAGGAGAGAAAGGACAAGATGCCAAGGACGGCCGCCGAGAAGCGAGCAGGCTATAGCAGGCTGCGGGCGGGCAGGGGGCAAACACCAATGACAGTCCTCAGGCCCGAAGACTGTGTCACGTCGACCTTATGCTCCCCTTGCGACGGCCATGGTGAGCTATGTTCTCCTGCTGTGTGGGAATCTGGCGCCTTACTCCCTCCGTGACAAGCCACGCTGCAATGAAGCTGTGATTTTGTCAGGCCTGGTAGCCCGGCGCATCGTCATATTCCCACACACGCACTTTTGAAGTCAAGAGGATGCCGTGGGGAAATCCGATGAGGTTAATTTAACACATACTTTCCAGGTGAGGAAATAGGAATCTAGTTTGCAAGGGTTTGGAGGTCGGGGCCCATAACACGCGAGTGTGGCGTTGGTATGGTCAGTGTGGGGCACTGGTAGGGTAGGGCAGCATGGGCCAAGT